CCCCCCCTCCCCCCCCCCTCTTTTTCTATGCTCCCATCAAACACACCCGAAACAACAAATAGATCGCAAGCGCCATCAAGACCATTTCCCACGACGAGAAGGACTCTTTCAGGTCTCGCCAGCTTGAGAGGCTCCTCGCCATTAAGGAGAAGGAGACCAGCACCGATGGTGACGGAGACGACGGCGGAGATTGAGTGCAGCAAAATGGTTGGTTGTTTGTGTGTGGTGTTCGTTAGAGCCGCGCGGCGGGCGGGTGGGCGGCTTGGTCGCTCTAGCGGCAGAACATTGTTGTACAGCTTACCGCCGAGTGGGTTTCGTGGGCGTCGTTGTCGTTGTTTTTAATTTGTTATTGATCGGTGTTGTTGTTGATGATGTTGTCTTTTTCACTTTATAACTGCCCACGAACACAGCCTGCATTCTTTTAAGATGGCAAAGCGATCTCAGTGAAGCGGTCGCCTATTCTCAGTAGACTTGGCATGGACAAGGGGACCTGCCCACTCCGTTGACCATACAGGCGTGGGCAGGAGCCCCGCGCACTTACCGGCGCCACATTAGACATTTCAGACAGTCGGCATTGTTGACGGCGGGGGTGGAGGGGGTGAATTGTTGGTAGATTCAATCGAACAAGGCCAGAGGCGCCACAACATTATTTAATATTTCAAAAACAAACGTGGTCTCTTTCGCCATTCGTCCCTTTTTTTTCATACCGTGCTGTTGAGAGAGGAGGTACATGTTGGTGTTGGTGTGGAACGGAACTATTGGCTGTGTTTACTTTTGTATTCGACGCTTTTGCCTATTGTCTTGGGAAGCAAGTGCGTGTAGTAGTGTTAAGATAGTCCGACGCATAGTGTATTTTCACGGCGTCATGTTACCCTCGATGGTTTCGCAAACACCGCTGCCGTGTTGCCTCCGTAAGCTGTTCCAGAGCTTCGTGCTTGGTCGATATTTCAACAACTAGTGGGGTTGGAGGGTCTGAACGCTTGGAACTGCTGCCGGACCTCGCCGTACGTACGTGAGCTAGGGCTGAGGGTGGAAACCAAGGCTGGCTCCGTGTCCATCTTGCCTTCTTTGCCGCGCGTTCGATTGGGTAAGGACAACGTTGAGTTGACCGTTGGTGTAATGTTGGCACGATGTTGAGGCCTGTGGCCTCTCTCTCTGTCGGGCTTGGTAATGATGATGGATTGATGCGTGTGTTCCACCCTTTGTTCCGCTGCTCACAACAGTTAGGTTGTTGTTGCTACGAATTACATAGTCCTGGCTTCACTTAACTTTCTACCACAGAGTCTATAATAGAGAGGTTGGCGTGCTGCTTCAGATAGACAGAGATTGTGGCATCCCGCGTCGTGCTATCAGGAGCCTTCCGTATTTTGCGGAAGTGCACAACCCAGGTTTCGTTTTGACTGAGTTACACTTGGGTGCGATGCGTTTCGATTATTGTTGTACCAGATACAAGTGGCTCGGGGGTGGTTCGTCCCTGAAGGTGCTGGGAAGAGGAAACGGTGGCGGGCGGATACCAACGCAATGAGTGCTAGCAGGCGCGTTTTTCTTGTCGTTCGTGTGCATGTTGTGCTGTGCTTCTGCTAATAAAAAGGATGGGCGAAACTTGTTGGGGTACACGGGAGTGAGTGCGATGGTAGTGGCGGTGGGATGGAAAGTTGGAAAAGGCTCGTCTAATTCATTATTGTGCTTGATGTGTTGTTTTGTTGTTCATTCTCGGGTTTCTCTCAATAGGTTGAATCAAGGTAAATCTGTCTGTTGTTTTCGAAGAAGGAAGGATGAGGGCTGCATCGGGTGGTTTTATTTTTTGCTTCGGCGCAATTATCTTCGCTATTAGGATTGCTAATATAGGAGGCGTTATAGACGAACCATTATAAAGCGCAGAGAATCGGACTACAGAGTACAGCGTATGCCTATGTACTACTGTTGTTGTTGTTGTTGTTGTTGTTGTTGTTGTTGTTGTTGTTGTTGTTGTCTTCACATTAAAAACCGTTCTTCCTCCGTTCTCTCTGACCAGTACCTTCTTCTGTCCGTACTACTGTAGTCCGACACTTGACGGGGTCGATTCACGTGGTCCAGGCTAACGTATCCAAAAAAGTTATGCGAAATTAAAAATGGACCCGAAGCGCCCGCAAGTCAATAGAAGTGAAAGACAGATAGTCTAGGCCACTCCGCTCGCCTCTACACACTATGCGAGGTAACCCGGGAACCCTAGACTGGAAAAAGAAAGCAAAAAAAGAGAAAAGAAAGAAGAGAGCAGATGGAGAAAGGGAAGGAGAAAGACACAGACAGAGAAATAAGACACAAAGGCCGTAGCGACAAACAAACAACAAACAAACAGAACAAACAGCACAAAAAAACACAAAGCAACACCAAGCGGGCCACCCGAGCCAGCAAATGCACGCCAGTCATCGTTCGTGGGGGGTGCAATGGTGCAGTGTGTGCCGGAGGGGGGGGGATACGTCAAGCAGGGTTCAATCCGGCACACCGCAGTATTTCGCGCCACTCGGTCCGCCTCTTCGCGTTTTTCCTGTCTTCCCTCGCCGTCTCGTCCGCCTGCTGTACCCCTCCCGCCCCAGTGGTTGTTGCCGTGTCCGTGTTGTTGCCGGGATTCTTGTTTCGTTTGAGCCCACGTTGTCGGCTACTGGCCCCCTCTTTCTTCTTGTACTATGCAAACAGCACAGCAGTAAATACATACAGCTACGTTGCATGAAAGATGCCCACCTCCACTACTACTGCTGTAGACTATATGGAGACAGATCTTCAAAGTCAAAGCCCGGTTGCTCTGCATCAGAAACAACGAAACAACAAAGAACGGTGCTGAAAGTGGAGGCTCTGGAAGTGTTCCGTCAAGAGTTTTTCGAGAACGTGATCATTTAATCTTACTGCTACAGCATCTATCTCCTTCGTCGTGTGTGTGGTAGTCGAGCTATGAAAATCGGCCCTAAGTGGGGTTGGTATATTTGCAACCTACCGAGTTCCAAAGACCTGGCTCCGCCGATCGTGCGTTCACATGTGTGCATCTACGTCTCTGTGAGCGCCAGGCACATTACGATATAGTTTTGGGAACAAACGGCTTGGACTATCCACCGCTGTCCTCGGTCCTCTCCCCCTTGCGGCCGTTCGCTAGTCGCTCGAGTCAGACAGACGTACGCATACGTACGTGCACGGAGTTTCTCCGCATCCATATATATATATTTTTTTTTTCCTTAATATGACACCACGTATTAGTCTATTATTGGAAATTGCTTCTTTTTTCTTTGTTGCTTTTTCCTCGCGCGGGTTCTCAGAAAATACAACGTGTCAATCATCGTTTGTCAGTGTCCCTCCTAATCCGTGCCCGAGTGCCTCCTCTGCCCAAGCATCCACTACTCTACCCATCTTCACAAACCCGGCGTTACTCTCCTCATATCGGTCAGCAGTGAGCAGATTCTATTTCTCTCAGCTCTCCCTCTGTCACATCGCCGCTGGAGGAACTACTGCACTACGGCTCCAAAAGAAAGATCTTCTAAATTTGTTCTTGCCTGCGGCAACTGCAACAACGAGCGCGTGCCGAAGGCACACGCTACCCCGCCGCGGCCTGGCACACGCCTTGGACCCCCGCCGCTGCTGGGCCACACGGCCCGCCTTCCACCACACAAACATCATCTTTTCCACTATACCCGGGGAGCACTCCTCTTCCTTTCCAGGCCACACACACACACACCGGCAGTAGTACAGCGACGACAGCAGAGAGTCAGCACCGCGCACCAGCATCATCATAACGGGCAGGCGAAAACATGCCATCGTCTCTCTTCGGCACGGTGATCTTGCTGGCGGGCGCAAGCCTGACAAAGGCGTGGGTCTCGCCGCCGGCTCACCAGCCGCGGAGTCCGGGCGCGGCAGGAGGAGCTGCTGCTCCTTCGACCGGAGCCTCCCCGTGCTTCGGCAGGAGCTCGCTGTCTCCGCGCTCGAAACCTCTGACAAGATGGGATGCGCAGCTTGAGAGGTATGTATTCCATACAAGCAGACCCGTGTTTTCGTCGTTCTTGTTGAGTCTGGCGGCAATTTCTTCCACAGCAGTACAGATATCCTGGTGCGAGTTTGTGGTGTGTGCCACCGATCCTGTTGCAGGCACGAGTCTAGAGCGACGCTTGACACATCCAAGGATCCATCATGCACGCCCAGCAGTTATGCCGGTTGTCTCTCTCTGTAGGTCGCTCTCTCCAGCTGCTTCTACGATGTGAAGTTCACTGCTGCCAACTGCTGCAATTTTATTTTTCCGCCCAACGGGATCAACCGCAGGGCGAGATCCGCGCACCGGGTCAAGGATTGGACAGAGGTGCAGCATTGGTGTTCCAGGGTGATCGACCTTGCCGATGACTGGAACGCGGTCGAGCAGGCGCACCTCAGGCTTGCGCTCGCGGCGCAGAAGAGCAGCGGGGTGGCTGGCGGACGGAGAGCATTTCAGGTACGGGTATAGACTGGAACTCGATGTACAGCAGTAGGCGTAGCATTTTATCTGGAAGATGGTGTGCGGACAAACGTGCAGACCGTGTGCAAGAACAATTTTGGGAAATCATCTCTTGACCACGGTGTGTGTCCAGTCGTGTGCGCTCCCTCCCACTTTCATAAGCCCCATCTGGCTATAGCATGTGTATTGGCAGCGAGCAGAGCGGTAAATGCATCGGAACGATGTCACATGTGTTTTCCCATCGAACAGGGCGGTGCAGCAGGAAGAAAAAAAAATGGTTGCGGAAGATACCACACCCCCTTACAGCAAGTAGGCCGAACCTGTTCTTTAATATTTTTGTTCCACACGAAAATGGGGAGACTGTCGCCATAATAATTACTGTAGGACGAAAATACACACTCTCGACCGAGGATGCCACAGAATCAAATTATTGTCGGAAGTTGTCGGTTCCAACGCGGTCGTTTTCAGGGGTGTGGTATCTTGTGCAATCTACGATAGTCTTTGTGTAGATCCGCATTGTATCCGTAATCATACCGGGCATTAGAATACTAACGTAGGCGCAAAAGGATTGTGCTTACAAAATACACTCGAGAGCAGCACGTAGATTCAGTCCCCCCTATGTTGTGCATGATTTCTCTGCCACCCTCGTCTGTCTGTTTGCCGCTACGGTACAGCAGGAATGCTTCCGACTGATGCGTCACGCCAAACGTCCAATGACGCACGTACATGCCGTGGATCGCACGCTCGGACAGAATCAGAGTCGAATATTTGCGGTTCTGTACAACCCAACCCACCTCCCCCCTCCACGGCAAAACAAACAAAATTCCTTGAAAACCCAACCCCCCGCCGCCGCCCCCCGCCGCGCCCTCCCCCCACGCATCCCCCCGCACCACAACTCTCAGCAAGGCATTCGAGACTGTCCCAGCTCCGACACGCTCCTGGTGGCCTGGGCGCTGATGGAGTCCAAGATCAAGAACAGCGCCCACTCCAGGCGGCGCGCCTGGGCCCTGATCCGCCGCGCCATCGCCCTCAACCCCAACAAGAACCGGCGGGTCCTCTCGTGGTCGGTGTTCGCCGCCGACCTGGCCCTGGCGGAGGCGGCGGGCGGGGGAGCCGCCGTCGTGGAGGCGGTGCGGTCGGCCCTCTCGCCTCCGCCTCCGACGCCGCTTCTGCCGGAGCCGACGGCGGCCGGCGGCAAGGGCATCGGCGGCGCCGCCGCCGGCGGGGTCAGGACGAGGGCCCTCGAGCGGGAGGAAGAGACAATCCTAGCGACCAAGCTTCTGGACCTGTGCCACAGCAACAAGGGTTTCCAAGAAGCGCCTGAGGTTCCTCCCGCTGCCACTGCTGCAGCCGTGCCGGCGGCGGCTCCGGCGACTACGGCGACTACGGCGGCCTCCGCGGCGCCATCCGAGAGGTTCCAGGAGCTCGCGGGGGAGCTGGAGAGGAAGGGGGGCGGGGCCGCGGCCGGGGTGCGCGCGCTCAGCGGCACCTGGCGGCTCGTGTTCACCACCAGCGCGGACTGCAACCGCTACCTTTCCCGAACAGGTGTGTATGTATGTACTTTCTTGCTGCTGTTGTCTACCGCTGCTTCGCGCTGCCCTACCCTCGCGTGTCACGGTTTTTCCTGTCGATAGGCTGTCGGACCCACACCCATCCCATCCGATAATGACATGGGTTCCTTCAACAAGAAAAAAAGCTTGTGCTTGTCGGTGTCCCTGTCCTTGTCCTTACTGTTTTTTTTCAATTCCCCTATCCTACCATCTCGACCATGTGCCTTGTCGTCGGTGATGGTCTTCCTGCACTGAAGCTTGTTGGGGGTGATCGAATTCCCGCTGCTCGTTTCAACGAGTTGCGTTACCGCGGCCGATTCTATTTACAGCAGCAATGATTTTTGTTGTGTGTTTTCAGCGTCGAACACTGACCCCCGCCCCCGCCCCCGTCGGACGGCTTTATTTTTTTCGTGAAAACGCGGCAGGCAACGAAGTCTACCAGCGGCTAACCCCTCCCATCATGGCGATCAAGCCGAGGCCCTCCTGCAAGCAGCCCGCACCGTTCCGGTGTGAGGTTCTCCTCCGGCCCGCCGCCGCCACGACGGCAACAGGCGGCGGAACCGCTGACGCTTCGTACGGAACCCGACCGCTATCACCACCTTCACACGGCACCAAGGCCGCTCCCAAAGCCACCGTGGCTTACTTCTTCCGCGGGTGGGCGGACAAGTCACCGCCCGACCAACAGAGGGAAGGCTGTCTCCTCAAGCAGCACGTGGCCGCTCGCTCCGCCACCATCGTCGCCGGCGGCGGAGGCGGCGGCGAGACCAGTGGCGGTTCGCTGAAACGCGCACCCTCGCCGACCCCGCCGCCGGCCGTGTTCAGCGCTCTGGGCCTGGTCGCGGCGAGGTGTAAGGGGTTGGAGAGGCTGGCGACGCAGGAGGTGACGTACGTGGGGAAGCAGCTTCGGATCGGGAGGACAACCGAGGGGGACGTGTACGTCTACGAGCGCTGTGCCTGGCCGAAGGACATGGACTTTGGTCTCGTGGTTTAGCTAGTTTTTTGTTGTTGTTGTTGCCGTGTCATAACTTGGCAAGTTGTCGTTGGAAGGCGTCGTCGGTCGGCGGCGAGTTGTACAGGGGAACGGAGGGTGCAGGCGCGGCAGCAAGAGCCGCGGATCGCATGTCCTTCGGACGAGAAACATGTTTAGGCAATAGCGGGAAATATTTTTGCGTCATTTCGTTGGTTGGTTGTCGCGTGATGGCGTTTCTTGTTTGGTGCCGGCGTGCAAATTGTGGTGGGGTCATACGATGGAGTTGGGAGTGGGGTGTGGGATATGATTTGTTCATTGAATGGTGTGCGCGTGACCTCATTAGTTGTGGTTGTGTGGTTGTTTTGTACAAAAAACAGAAAAACAGGGTGGAGATGGAGCGATGGATTTTCGTTAGTGTTACATCGCAAGAAAAGAATGAAAACGGTGCTGTCCCTTGTAGGCTCGAGCACGACAAGCTCATTCCTGGTGAGTTACCGTTAAGAGTTATCGTACCCTTTTCGTGTTTGGTCCTTGCGTGATGAACGACACAGTTCATGTAGCCCCTCATCTTTGGACGGGACGGTGAGGGGGGCATGTTGTACTCGCCACCGCGCTTTATAGTGCCGTGGTTGGATATTGTTTCGGTTGTGTACGAGTAGGTCGTGTGGCCCAATAGGGTAATGTAAGTGGGTTTACAAGATACATGAGGGGAGAATAACCTCTCCTTTGGTTGGAATTCGTGCCGGCTGTCGGAGAGTCGTTTCACCACGAACGCCCTCGCACGGCGGGTGCGATGAAATCCCCTCTCTCGGCATTTTTTGCGGTCGCCTCGTTAGGCTATTATATTAGGAAAGGGATGTCGTTGGTATCCTGAAACTAAAGCGTTTTCCCCGCCGGGCATTGCTGTTACCCCGCAAACAACGGAACATACTAGGGTAGTGAAGCGAACTTGTTTTTTCCGTTGGTGAAGTGCCATGCTGAACCTTCGAGAAAGCATTCCAGGCCATTGGTATGTACAGCAGTGTTCGATCGAAGCAGGTGTCGTCTTATTCAGGAGGGAGTTTGTTTTGTTGGTCGGGCGGAGAATCCAAACTCCTTTGCGGAATGTTTTTGTGGGTGTTTTTTTGGTGAGGGAGTGGGTCCGGGGCGTGTGTGTTTACCCGATCAGGGAGGGAGGCTAGAGGAGTAGAAGTGAGCTAATACTTGAAACTTTCGCCGTGGCAGCTGCTGCAGCTTCATCTTCTTCTGATGCTGCTGCAATATATTCCTTTTGAAGGAACAAACCGGAAGCAACCGCGGAGAAGAGGCAGGTGTACCCGCCATTGCTGTTTTTGTTGCTGGTGCCTTTGAATCATTAACCCATCTGGTCTGCTCAGTGAAAACCTCGATGCATCCGCGTATAAGCCGGTAACTCACAGGTGCATAACTTCACAACGAGCAACGTGAACAAGCATGGACTCCATTCAGCACCCCAGTTGGTTCTCCGTTTGCCCTCTTGCTCCATTCCACATGCACAAACGGCGGGGAAAACGATGCACATCATCATCAGCATTGTTGTTGTGCTCCAAAATTGTTGTGCTCCATAACAACATACCGTCCTGGTTGTGTTGGCCGTGATGAATGAAAGGTTCTTCTGCGTGGATAGACAATACCTACTTCGAATAATTGTAGCCCGTGTGTGCCGAGGAGGACAAGAAAGAAAGCCCTGGATAAGCTGATCGTTGTGTAATTGTTGGCCGTGATGAATGAAAGGTTGTGCAGCCGTAGCACATGCTTGTAGCGAGAGGACACGACAGTAGGTCCTGGAGCGGCAAGAGGTCGCGCAGCAGCAGAAAAGCTTGATCAGCCCACAGCTGGCTGCCACGCGCCTGCTGGGATTTTCCCAAGCTCGAAAACAACCCACCATCTACACGGCTGACGTTTTTTTTTTCTTCAACAAGAGACGTGTTGTTTATGCTCGAATAGCCCACCCAGTGAACCCCACACCGATGCAACCTGAGAAATGAAAATACTTCTTACGTACTATGTATGTCGCACTTTGTATGCACAAGGGTATTAAGTCTACGGAAGTATCTGTCTTGAAACACTCATCGTCTCAGGGTACGTTCGCAGACTACTGACTGACGTAGAATGCATTAAAAAAGTGTCCTGCAATACCCAGTTCGGGAATGAATACAAATGCTTCTGGTTGCTGAAACAGATAGCTGCATACTACAGCGTAGCGTCGGTCGTGTGAATGAATGAACGAATGAACGAATGAACTGGCTAACAAAAATCATCACTCATACATCCTCAGGGCACAGCCGAGAGCTGCGGCTGACGTACTTTTGCAGGGAGGGTGAATTGCTCCATTCACCTCACAGCTCTCGCCGGCGTTGTTGGGGTGCCATGGGCCGTGAATCGCTGCCTGGAAAAACCACGTACTACGTGCCGGTTCGATTGAAACGGCGAAGACAGCACAATATTCATAACAGATCGGAAAGGGTGTGTAATAGTGTGCTTGTCCCCTGAACGGGCACACCTATGATGTGAATGACGTAATTCTGAGCATATCCCTCGAACAGGCACTACAAGGTGCGTGCACACGAATCAATCGGCGGACACGCGTACGCACGAACATACGTTCTTCTAACGCCAAAGCCTGCTCGGGGTAGACAAGATACTCTTGTAGAGCTACCCCCCCACTCGAAAACCAGGACCCGGGAACAGCAGTCACGCACAAACAATTGCGAGCTGGATTAACGGGTAAAAGTACTAGGTGTGGGTGCTCGATCCGAATCCAAACACGTGGGAATAGCCATCAGGGGCACATCAGAGAGAAAGAGGCAGAGAGAGAGAGAGAGAGAGAGAGAGAGAGAGAGAGAGAGAGAGAGAGAGAGAGAGAGAGAGAGAGAGAGCTAGAGCAGAGCTTTCCTGGGATCCCGGTTCTCTTATTTCATCGACAAACATGGATGGATTTACGAAGATCACGTCTTCCACCACCGGTGACATCTTTCTACGACAAAAAAGGCACAAATTAATGGCGGAGAAGAAGCAGCATTGGCTGCTCGGAACGCATGATGATCGAATCGGCGACAGCAACGTCGGTATCCAGGTATGGAACATCTCGCCGCGAGTGAGTCAGTTTTTGTCTCATATTGTAGCCTACAGTACATGTAGTCAATATGCAAAGTAAAGATGGCCCTCGAAAACACTTCACGTACTTACGGAATCCATCCGCCTGTTCAAGAAAGTCGAGGGTCACGTATCCGTACACACCCTAGGCGATACTCAGGGACGGAATGTCGCCTGCCACCATCTCATTCACCATCTCATTCTTCTGGGTGAAAACTTGACTACAGACAGAGATGTTGTCTATTGTAGTGACGGCATATACTACAACAGCACGACGAGCGGGTGCGGAGGTTCCGCAGAAAATAAAATATTTACGCTACAAACTGGTGCGATAGTTAGGCTACATATTTGTACATAGAACTGGTGGTTTGGATAGCGATCCGAAACCAACGATGGCTTGCCACCACTTGTTTTCATTCAAGCCGAAAGAGCAGCTTCTACTGTACTGCAGTGCTTGCCGTAGTTCCTTGCCGCAAGAAGGATTCAGTTGCCCTTTGCCATCGTTGACGCAGTGCAGTTTTTATTGTTTCGATACTCACGACAATAATGTTTCCACGTGGCGTTGTTGATCACAATACAACGAGCCCTGGCTATATACCAATACGCCAGATTGGGAGGAAAATTCCCAAGGTCAAAAACATTCAAGGCTATAAACTGGTGGGCGACCGGTTTTTTGCTGTTCCTCCGCCCACCTATTCCGTGCAGACAGGACGTTTCTCCCTCGAGGGGCGTATTGTGTGTTTGCGTTGGTATGTACAAACGGATCGTTCGCTCGCGGGTTGGCTGCAGCTTTTCCTGTTCTTGTGCAAACCTCCTCGTGATTATTTTCTGTGAGGCAAAATTTTAAACGAAACACGTTGAATTTTCATCCTCCTGACCGAACACAATCAATCCCAGATAATGGGATGCTCTTAAAACACCAAGAAACAGCCATTCAACCATGTCCATAAAAATTGCGCGTTTTCCTCAAAATGAAACCAACGTTGTGAATACACGGTCCAGAGGGACAATCCGTCTGTTTGTCAAGGGAAGAGAAAAACACGGTACTGTCTGGAGGAAATGTTGTTGTTGTTGTTGTTTTTGTTGTTGCCGTCGTCGTCGTCTTAACATGGAACAAATCGTTCTAACCTCCATCCTTCACCCCACTTCTTCTACTCTTCGAGATGAAGACACGACTTTCCGTCTCCAAGGTTGTTCATAGTGTTTTCGGCTTTTGTTTCTAATAGCCGTTTGCGCTGCTGTTGTGTCCCCCACCATCAAACATTTCGCAACCGACCATCTCCAGGATGGAAAAAGGACGAGGTCGACGACTTCAAAGGTAGTCGCTACCGCGGGAACCGGAAGCGCTGTCGACCACCGCCATCTTCCCCGCAGTCACCTAAGCATCAACAGCAGCGGCAGCGGGAGTGGTGGCGACAGAAGCTGCTGCAGCACCGTGTCGTTGTCGTCAGACACCTCGGGTTCGTTCGGCTTTTCCGCCGAATGCAGTCCTGCAAGAATTCCTGCTGCCGCAGCCGCCGCTACTGGGCAATTTCCGTGTTCCCCGGCCCACGGTGGGTGGGTCGGTCGGCAGCTGAGCGGCGGCGGCAGCGGCGGTGGCAGTGGCGGCGGCAACGGAAACAACATGCCGATGTTCAAAGATCCTAGAAATGTAGCTGTTGGGACGAACTCGTTCGAAATCCGCCAGGCCGCAGCCGGATCGGCAGCCGGAGCAGACAATCGCCGTCATGACAGGTGCACACGGCTTCCGATACACTTATCCTTGTCAAGGTCGAAGACGTTGGTGTGAGAACCTTTGGAAGTCTACAAAGAAGCATTACGTTTGTAGATGCACGTCTACTACGTCCTCCACCGCTGGTCTACCCTTTCGAGCCAAGTGCTCCCTCCGCTAGAAACTTGCTATGTCCGTTGATGTGCATCTCGCACGCCGGGACTTGAGACGAGCTATTGCTCGCAATCAAATATCTTTGTCCGCTGTGTCTCACGCGATGACGGCCCTGCAAGACATCAGAAATGTGATGGGTGATTCGGATGGGCCATTTGCGATCCGGTTCCCTCCCCAGTCCGGTCAGTTATGCCATGAATACATTGTGTTCGGGTTAAAGTGTATCGGGCCACATGCTGACGGATCCATCGGGAAACATCCCATGACGATAAAAAAAAGGAGCCAAACCCAGTGCGATATTAGGACTTCCAACAAACGGCTCAATGTACGCTTGCGACCGAATGCCTCAAAAATGAAAAATTCCTTCGGCCTGTCCGGTGCCCCCTCCATAGCTGAAAACTGTTATCGCTCGGTTCTCTCTCTCTCTCTCTCTCTCTCTCTCTCTCTCTCTCTCTCTCTCTCTCTCGTTGCGCCACAGCTTTCGTCCGATCGCGACCGCCTCTTCTTGCTGCTCGAGCGGCAGGGCAAGCAAGGACGGCGCTTTCCCGTGCCGTCCTTCTTCTCCGTTGAGCTTCGGGTCTGTGTGCCCCGACCCCATCGCTAGCGCCGCCGTCGGCGGCAGTGACGGCAACGACGACGACAAGGATGGCGTAAAAAACCACCCCCCGCCAAAGTTGAGCAGCAGGGCAATGATGCGGTCTGCCGCCGGTGGGTCAAGCGGTCCTTCTGCTTCTCCCATCCGTTCTTCCGTTCCCGCTCCTTTGCCGGTGGAGTTGCCGCCGAATTTGCCCACGGCAAGGGCTTTGTGGCCGGTGTTTCCGGGCCCAGGACAAGAACGATTCGCCGGCGGCGGCGATGGCGGCGGTATGTCGTCCAGCGACGTTCGTTGGTCGTCGTCACCATCATCACAATCAGGTGCTCCTGCTCCTGCTCATGCTACCTCTGCTAATAGTCCCGCATGGCCGGTCCCGTCCGCCTCGTCTGGTCGGCCGTTTTCATCCTCGATGCTGATTGGCGGTGGTGGAGGGTACCTCCCAGCCACCGAAAGGATGCACTGTGACGACGAAGACGACGGCGAAGCTTATGCCAGCGACGTCAGGAAGATCGGCAGCATCGAGAAGATCCGGTCGGGATCACCCTGTTCCGTCGCCGTCAACGCGAAGAGTCCGCAGCGCCAAGTTTCGGGGGTTTCGGGGGGACGTCCGAACGCCTCTGGGGTGAAGCGAACGAGGTCAGAGAGATTTCTCGAACATTCGGTTCTTGCTTCAAGTCGCGTGCGGCATGAACGCACAGTTGCACGCTGCTCCTGCAGCAAGAGTTTCGTAGACGCGTGTCTACTGGATCCGAGGGCAACGTGTTGAGGATATTGACAGGGTATACCACGCTGCCGACGTTTGAGGGTCACCCGGATAGGTCAGCAGCTAGCTACGGACCACGCTAGCAGCTTACGATTTCACACCATCTTCTTGCCACCTCGATCTGTCTCGAACCACCCCCCTACATACAGGTCTTCGGACGCTATAAGCCACACCAACGACGAGGGGCGGTACGGCCGTGGCAGGAACGGCGGACGGCGAATGAAGCACAGCAGCGACAGCGACCCCCTCTCTTCGGCGAACGTGGCCGATGACGGCCGCTGTCCAGCTCTCGCGCTGCTGTCAGCCTCCACCAAGACTCACGAACGTGCTTGCTCTTTTTCTGGTTTCCCTGGAGAGAGGACTGGCGGTCCTGCTGCCACAGGCGGCCATGCTGGTGGCGTCGATGCCTGTAGCGGAAACATTTTGGCAAACGGCGGACGGCGGACTGATATGGATGATGTGGTACGTGTCTGTCTGTCCGCCCGTCAACCAGTTTAGCTACACATTGTGATGTAGAAAACTCGGTGCTGTTCTGCTAGACACTGGCGCACCTGGTTGGGTAGTATTGTCGTCCTGCTCAACCCCGCCGGCAAATACATTCATCTGCAATTGCCTCTTCACACCACACCTGCCCAGTCCTAACGCGAGTACCACCGCCTTGAGCTGAGGTCGTTCTCTGCCTTGCTGTCCCACTCCCACTCGTCCTCTCACTCGCCTACCTCCAACACCCAGCTGAGATCGTTCGACGACCTCGCGGTCTCGAGCCACGGGGACATGCCTTCGGGCGTGTCCGACGAAAGGATGCTCCACCGGACACTCGCCCTTCGATCGTTCCGACGTGTCGTGACCGCCACCAGCCGAGGTATGACTGTCTGCATTGCCTCGGATAGTTTTCCATAGCGGGCCAGCCCCATCTCCTTCAGCCCTGAAAAGTTTCAAGTCAGGGGCGCGGCAACTGTTGTTTGTTGAGACCCCGAACCAGCAAAACCTCACTCCCGAACATGGACTCTGAAGCGCCTTCGGCGAGGCTAGACTGCACGTACTTGCGTGTAGCGTTCAACGACGACTGTCCTTTGTTCCCTCCAATCGTACCCTCTGCGCTGAGAGTGTCCGCTTGTTGGAGGTCTCTCCGGTAAGATTCAGGAATCGAAGCCCTCCGTTTCGAACATGATGCGGTTCGGTTGTTGACTGACTATGTAGGACAACACACGAAAATTCCCACCCCCAACTCAAACAACGTACCCCGTGACGGCGATTGGTTAGGAAGACAGTCACGGCTTGCGCTCACTCGAAGATTATGTCTTGTCCACGTGTTTTCGCAGGTTTAGGAGGAGGTGGAGACGAGGAGGGCGCATGGTGTGCCAAGGGCGCGTCATCCGTTAACTTCACCGGCGGCGACGGCAACAACGGCAACACGAACAGTGAAAACTCTCGCAAGAAAGCGAAGGCACTGTCCGGCACCAAGGATGAACGCCAATATCATTGCGGAGAAAATCGGCGAGCAGGAAGAACGGGCGATGGAGAGTTCGAGCGGTGGTTCGATGACAACAGCAGCACCAGTAGCACATGCAGTGGCAGCAGCGGCAGCAGCAGCAGCAGCAGCAGCTGCACCAGTAGCAGTAGTAGTAGTAGCAGCAGCAACAGCAGCAGCAGTACCAATAGCGAAGTTGCACAAGTTTGGACCGTGTTCAGGGGCCGGCGAGGGTCGCGCGTGATGACGGCTTAGAAAAATGACTCGGAACAGAAGAGCGGGAGGACGATGTGACAGTGTTTTTTAGGTCCAATGGAAACCGCAACCAGACCTGAAGAGTGCCGTGCGGAGGATATGTGGTAGCATTTCTTACCTTACTCACAAGCTGGGAAGCTACTCGTGTTTTTAACCACAAAGGAGAGTGGGATTGCTTGCCGAGTCTGACAAGTGGGTATCCGGACGTCGGCTTCGGCTGTTGTGCCTGTTTGATCTTCCTCTCCTACTTGGCGTTGTGTGCGTTCTGGGTTCCTCTCTCTCTCTCTCTCTCTCTCTCTCTCTCTCTCTCTCTCTCTCGGCACCGCATCGCGGTTCTGGTACCGAATCTGGTAGCCGCACCGGTTGATCGACACGTGTCTCCGGTGGCAGCTGTACGCCCTGGGCAGTTGGTTCCGCAACACGCGACCACTTCCTGAAAAATGGCAGTTGAGACCTTGAGGATTCAAACTCTTCGAACTTGACCCAACCCAGTCCTGAAGCCTGTGTAGGCCCCGTTGGTTTCCCCTCAAAGGGAGTACGGAGAAAGCCTCGGGCCATCCAGGTGGCGCTGTCTAGTGTACTTCGAGATGGAGCGGAAACCCTTGCGTAAGTGAGAATGCCGCAATGGCAGCGGTAACCATAATTTTTTATCGCAAGGTTGTGCCTGGTTTGTGACCGCCAGACGTCAAAGGCAATGACTATCAACGACTGATTCAGGCCATACAAATGTGCAACGGTTGCCCAAAGGACACCCTCCAGCTCCAGGGACAGCTCCACTTAAATGTTACGTCAACTGTCGAACGGTGCTTCGTGTGCCATCCCGACAATGTCGGCCTGGCGTTTTTTGGAAGTAGGCCGTACCGTTTTGTAAGGCAGGTTGTTGACACCAAAAAAATCTACCACGGAAGGAACTGTGAACGCACACGCATAACGAATCGACCTTCACGTGCGCCTTCCGAACTACAAACGGGTGTGCAAGCCCTATATGACTGGCGAAGCTACTTGTTGGTATATCCCAGTATGCACGTGCATTGATTGCCAGGGATGCCGTGACCCCTTCGTTAGAGCCAATGATCAACATGCGAAGATGCTGCATACGGGTTTCCCGACGGCAAAAAATGGTACCTCGGTGTCCTGGGCAACTTGTACGGGACGGGGATTCGATGGCGACAAAACAAACGCTTCTTTGCTACAGGTATAATAACAGCTCATCAATTTTATTGTCATGTAGGTCGGAAGCAAAAGACAGTCTCTGGGAGGCATTGCCGCAACACCAGCGACATAGGAACGACATTCACAGCGCTTCCAACAGACGGCACCCTATCGGAACAACAAGGCAGGCGTTATCAACAGCCGTAGAGACATATCCTTCCCTGAAGACAGTACCCCCTAGGAGTGCGTACCACACAACGGTCCATGGTGCTATCATTCAAAATTTAAATTTTAGCCACTAGAACACCCTTGTCCTAATCCTCTCGCCAACTTCTACCATCCACAACCGTTGTGGCACATCGCTCGGCCACCTCCAAAGCCCCTTTGACGATCTTTGACGTTCGAAGCACGGGCATATCGACAACATCACGTCCCGCTTCTGAACCCCAATCCGGCCCATCCCCGCCGTTCCTGTTCCTTGCCGCTGTGGCCTGCACAGCGCCAGATCCCTCGATGCCGCTGTTGTCTTCAATGCTATCATAGTTTCGCTGTATTGTCCTTGACACGGTGGACGACGATGGACGTAGCAGCAGCAACGAAACAATCCCCGGCGACGCAGCACCTCGTGCGGCTCCACGACAGCCTCGTGCCCCCCCTCGCCCCTCTAGCCTCCTCTGCTGCCCTCGCGGCACCAATTTCCTTGCCACCGCCCGCACGTTGGAAGTTGATCTCGGCCACCGTCTCCATGCTGGAGCTGCTGTCGCCGGACGGTGAGCACGGCGGCCGGTCGGGCGTAACGGACAACGCGGCCCCGATACCCACTCGTTCTGCGGTGGCACCAGCTTTCCGGCCGTCCTGTTGGTCTTGAAAACGCGCTGGTGGTGAATCGCAAGGAAATTGACAGCGCCGCCGTTGCCGAGCCCGCCTCCCTGACCAGCGGGGGTAACAGCTGGTGCGTTTGACGTAGCAGCCGTCGTATGCTCCCTTCGCGAGGGAGGCGATGGGCCTGGAAGAGGTTGATCAACGCCAGCTCCCCTTTCGCGGCTCCCGCCGCCGTCGCCCTTGCGGCCCCCCGCCGCCGCTTTCCGGGCCGGCTCCGCTCTCCTCCCGTCTCCGGTTTTCGTGTTGCGGTCGGGCCTACGTTCCTCGCAATGTTCACTGCTTCGGTCGGTGGAGGTGCCCCTAGCGAGCAATGCGGCCCTTACCTCCGCAGCTGTGGAAGGCGAGCCCCTCTCCCCTGTGGAGGCATTCAAAGGACAGCGCCCGAAGGGAGCGAAAGTTTGGCGGCGGAGAGGGGCAACTCAAAAGCGAAGGCCGGGAAATTTTATCGTTAAGCAAGGAACGCGTCCGGTCCAGTTCCTTCCCTTTTAATGGGCCTCCAAACTCCAACACAATACCTCCCCTGACACGAACGTTCACAAGCGTAAACGTCAAAATATTTTTTCCTCTTCGCCGGCGCTAACCTCCGAACACAGCGCGCCAGATGGGTCCTGGCCGTTCGCCCTCCTGTCGCTCCGGAGTTTTACTCGAGCGAGCGGTAGCCTCGGTCAGCAGTGCCATCGTGGGCGCGTCCTCTCCCCAGTCCTCGGGGCCCCACACCCTGGGCCCTTGCCCGCTTTCGCAGCCGCCCGCCGCGATTCTTGGCGGCCGTCCTCTCTGTTGTCTTTGTCGCCTCCTTTGGTGTTGCGGTAGACGCCCACTGATCCCTAGGCTCTGGTCTGCTAGGAGCCCCGTTGCTGTTGTGTGACGCGGAGATACCGTTGGCGTTCTTTGGGTTGACCCTTTGGGCGGGGGCAGTGCGGAACCAGACGAGGTAAAAGTATGGGTTGGCGTTGTTGGTGCTCTTACACACAGCTCATAAATAGGCCGTTCCTACCGAGGATTGACGACGGATTGGAATGCAACAGCTCTAGAAACGAGCGGTATTTACACCTACGGGTCGTCTAACGTCTACCCTTGAGACCCCGTACTCAATTCTCATGATAAGCATGACGTGAATAAAATAGGCTCAAAGCTGTGCAGCACGGCAGAAGGGAAGACGAAGCATACCGTTCGGGCCAAGGTCCATCCAGCTTTGCGGCGCCAAGGCTCCAACCTTTGAGCCATTCGTTTCTCGCCCAGAATTTGGCCCCCATTCATCGCCTGAATCCCCCGACACACCGCCTAACATTGTTTCGGAAGAAGTGCTGTCGTACTGCCCACATTCGAACAAGCTTACTGCCCTCCTTCCGATCACCCCAGGCGTAAGACGGTCGCACTGGGGTGCGTCGGGCCGTTCGCATCGCTCGGTCATGCTGCTCTCATTGCCCGCAGGAACAGAAGAGGGAGGCGAGGGTGGTGGTGGTGGTGGTGGCGGCGGTCTCGCCCGACCAAGCGTCTTGGTCAGCATGCCGATGTTTGCCCGAAGTGTGGCAAACTCTACAACCTCGTTGTTCCTGTTGTGGCTGTTGGCACCATCGTCGCTACCGCCGGCTTGCGAAAAGACCCGCCCCATAGCCACGATGTCGCCATTGCGAATACTGCGCGACAGTATTGGACAGCCGCCCAATGCTTCTTCGATGATGCTTTTGAGACCAAGAGTCTCCCGCGAGGGGCAGGGATAGCCTATCGATTTGTCGCGGGCAGTGCTGGAGGTGGGAGATGGCCATCCTTCTGGAGGTTCCGCTGGAAATTTGGGATGGTCTGCGTTTATCTCCCCAGCAGCGGCATACATCGCTAGCAGCGCATCCGCTACGGAAAGACAAACCTCTCCCGGCGGCTGCTCGAAACGTCGCGCACTTGCTGCATCCGCGCTACCACCAGCAGAAACACCCACCGGTTCGTCGGAAGGGGCAAAGTCTGATGGCAGTTCTCCGCCACCAAGCCGATTGTCGTTATCCTTTGGCGGTAGGCCTCCAGATTCCGCCAGCCGCTCACTCCGAGGGCGCTCGCCACTCCCTTCGTCGTTGTAGCCCCCAGCGCCTGCTTCTTCTCTGCTGGTTGTCACCCTCCTCTCGAACACGGCGTCTCCGTCCGCCTCGACACCCGCTGGCGCGTTCCCCGCGTCTCTGGTATCGGTCGGCCTTAGGTCGGCCGCCAGGTTTCGTGGGCAGACTACAAGGTCAAGGACGGCGAGCGGGGCGAGGGCGTACGCTAGAGCTGAGCACAACTCCTCCGCGCCGGTCCCACCCCGTCCGCTCGTACAAACCCGCCGGAGCAGCTTGAGCGCCAATATCGCTTCGCCACCACCGACTCCGGCGCCGCCCCTGTCAGATTCTTCTGTTGATGGTGCCGGGGATCCATCCCGTGAATCACAACCGTCCGCCGTGTCGTCTGACCCTCGGCTGCTGCTAGCACTCTCTTCGTCCTCCTCTGTCTGTTCGCGTGACCGCCTGCCAGTCACGCGCTCGCGTTGGAGTTGAATCCAGGCGATGGGCGCGCCTCTCTCCACCTCAGAAACCAAGCCGAAAAGCCCGGCCAAGCCCGCGACCACGAGGTAGCAGCACGGGCGGGGGCATTCCGTGGCCAACAGCACGGCTAGCCCTGCGGCGTCCTCTCTGACTTCGTAGATCGGGCTCAGGGAGAGCTTCAATACCGAAGGTATCAGCGTCAGCTCCGGGCGCATCAGCCGTTGTCGGTACTTCTGCGGGCTCGGTAGCGCGCCATCAAGTACAACACTCCCGACATTGTCACCGCGATATCGAAGGGCTCCATTCCGACCTCGTTGTTCCGACGCTCTCCGCACCAATAGCTCTTGGGCAACCCGGAAACCGAGGGTCTGCGAACCGGCGGGATCTTGTATGTCTCGCCCATCGAGCAAGCAGAGGACAGCGCTCCACACCTTCTCATTCCCGGTGGGATCATGGCCGCCCAGGCCTAGTTCCACCAGCAGACGCCTACCGGCCTCTCGTGTATCGGTTCCGCACTCTGGTCGGCGCAGCGCCATAACAATGAGCCCGAGAGGGTCACCAACTCTGGATATAGGTGAAGAATTTTGGGACAGCCCTAGTAAGGATGAGGGGGAAGAAGAAGGGCATGAAAGGTAGTCCTTGACTCTTTTACCTCCTGCGCGGACGAGGGCCACCAGCAGGCCTAGTGCTTCCGCCCGATTCGTCTCCGCCTCCTTCTCCTCTTCGTCCTCCTCCTCTTCGTCCTTCTCCTCCAACTCCTTCTCCTCCTCCTCCACCTCCGTCTCCACCTCATCTTCATCCTCCTTCTCCTCCTCCTCCCTCTCCTCCGTGTCCTCCGCCTTCTCTTCCCCCTTCTCTTCCTCCTCTTCCTCCTCCTCCTCCTCCTCCTCCTCCTCCTCCTCCTCCTCGTCCTTCCACTCTTCAGGCGACAATGAGTGCGGAGGAACCGTTGGTGTAATTTTCCCGCGTTGTCGTCGTCGCCGTTGTCGCACTCTCCTGTCTGCCTCGGTCGCCGATAATTGACTGTTTACAGCACTCTTCTGATGTGACACTGCTACCTGGAGAGCTGTGTTGATCAATCCCGGGGTGCACAACTGCTGGCCTAGCAGGCGTGGGTCAAAGTAATCTTGGACACCGTCGTCACTACTATCTTGAACGGTTCTCCCAGCGGTGGCGGATTCTGCGAGCAGAGTGACCACACGCAGACAGGGGCCAAGTTCATGGCCGCACGCGAATGATGTCTGCAAGTGCGAGGAAAACCGGGTCGCCAGCAAGCCAGCATGGTGGCCGAGTAGCGAAAGAAACTCAACATTCGCCCTTGGCGACGGGCGTTGAGCGGGTAGAATCGCCTCACCAGGCACACCATCGCCGATTGGTTTAGTCGGAGGAGGCAGTCCAACCTGTTTCGTAGAAGAAGGGAGGCCGCGGCCTTCATTCTCATCAACATCAATTTCGCCCCTGAATGGATAACGGAGCGCGGTTGCCGTCTGCTTCTCCATACGCCCAACACGGACCTCCTTCTCCAAGCTGATGCCACTTTCAAGCTTGTCTGCGCCTGAATGACTGCAAGCTTGCTGCTGCGGGCAGGAGGTCTCGTTGCTGCTGACGAGAAGCTGATCGGCCAACGCTCTCATCAACTCATCACGTTGGTGCCGTGTTGCTCGGTCCCACTGCTGTAGGAGTCGTGTCGCGCCGGGAGCACGTCCTGGTGTCGCCGGCAGGTTCTTGCAGCAGCCATCCACGGCATGGCGTATGGCCAGCCCGCGCGCAGACGCACTCATCGCCCGGGGTTGCTTGACAGGTGCTCGGCGTGGTCGCTGGTAGTTTATGTCTTCGGGTTTGATGGACAACCCTGCTCCGCCGTTTGCGAAAGTATCAACGTCTTCTCCGCCGCATGCTGACAGCCATCGACTCGTCGTCGGGACGGGTGGTGTCGTGTGGAGACCCCTCAAGCTAGAATGCCAATGCGGGTGAGAGCCGAAACACTGCTCAGCATCACGGACACTGGTAGCCGGCCTTTGTCTCTTTGCGGGTTTGGTTGTCGCTGACCGAGTGTGGTAGGCAGGACTTCTTGATTTCCGAGAAGAAGCAGGCGACATCGCCTCCGGCTGCGAGCGACAAGGATGGCGGTGCCAAACAGGAGAGCCCCACCCTCTCTTGTCGCGATGAGGGGGGGCAGACTTCGCTCTCTCATCACACCCTGTGGCTGCTGCTGCTGCTGCTCGAGCTTTGCCGTGGGGCCGTTGTCCGGTAGAGGGGCGCTTGGGAAGCCAAAGGCGCACCGGAGCTGCTTCTTGGGGTGGCACAGTGAAGACACGAGTTGTCACCACTTCCCGACGTGGCTTGCATGGCCTTGTCAGATGGCAGTCTCCCATCGAGGTAGGGAGAGTTATGGTTGGAAGCTCTCGATCTGCACAGGCGGGGAGGCCCAGCTGAGAGGCCGCATCGTTCCCATTGCCCCATTGGCGAAGTGACGTTGTCGACATGATACCTGTCGCCTCCATATGGGTGTGTGCACACCTGGCCGGACTGTGTACTGCGCACAGGCGCTCCGACCCAATGCTTTGACTCCACACACGCGGCGAGATTGCAATATTCCACATTCCACACAGACCAACAAAATGCGATCAATATTTACGTGGATGTGAACTCGCGGGGTTTGCCTGGTAAGGTGCTAGTGAATGTACAAATCATACTATTTGAAGTACACATTGAAACAAGGAGTGTCACGCTGGAACTTTGAGATACGAGAGAGCGCACGGTAAAATGCGCCGAAAAGGGCATGTGCCGGTTCGAGAGAACCTTTTTCGAAACCGCCGACTTGAATTTTCGACGACTTTTTTTTTTTTTTCTTAATTCTTTGTCCCTCCCGTCCTCTTGTTTTGTCTCTCTACGGTAAACGAGCTTTTGTTGGGCATCAGCCATATCGATTAGCAGGTCTCTGCTGTCATGTAGTTCCCATAATCACGAAGCGTGGAGTTCATGCATTGAACAGTGCGCGACTCTGTTGGAATCTGCGTTTCTCTGGGCGACTTCATTCTTGCATTCATTCGACGTTGGGGCTTGGTGCCCGTCGAGAAAATATCTTTTTTCGGCTCTTTGCCGTGAACCCCGGAATAGGACATACCGAATGCCAGCTACATAAAAGCCAACACCACCAACGAAAAAACAAAGAGCAACAGCAGCACCCCTACCCAAGTGGGGCAGCCAAGGGCTAAGGCTAGGGGGTTGAGAGGTCTTCGGGGGCGACAAGCAGCTGTGTGAGTGCACGTGCCAAGCCACCATGGGGAAGCTCAACAGCTTTATCAAGTTCGTCGTCTTCAACGCGAACGCTCTCTTGTTCCTCGGGGGTGTGGGGATTGTCATCGTGGCCTCACTGCTGCTGGCAGCAGATTTTATCAAGCTTGCCCAGGTATGTACTACTGTACTGTAGATTCCTGACAATGAAAGCTACAATACACACGTTTGTCATTCGAGTTCCTTCCATGGACAGATGGTTAAATCGTGTGGGAGTTTTCAGCGGACCACAGTAGGTGATGGTTTTCCTCGCTACAAAAGATACAGCACTTACTGCTAACCTATATTACGCCGGATCATTCTCACTATTTGTACCCAGCTCGTCTGAGCTTCTCGAAACCTCTCCCGCGTTTTGAGGCTCTACCTGCTGCATGTTGAATAACCTTCCGCCTTGTCGAAGGCTTGCATGCAGTTCGGGCCGCTCCGGTTGACTCGTGTCGAGCTCTTGTACATCCTGGTTAATATTCGCTCGGCTTGGTTCCGTCCCGCTCTCTCGCAGACCTACATGCAGACTCTGGGGATAATCACGATGATGGTCGGAATCTTGGTCGCGGCCATGTCCATCATCGGCTGCGTTGGTACCAATCGACAAATAGAGCGAGACCGTGAGTGCTAGCCTCTCCGTTTAATCCCAATGTTGCAAGAAAAACGCTGCAATTTCCATCTTTTCGTTGACAACAGAAGATGGGTTTGGGTACAAGGCCATCGGTTTCTGATGTTTTCTATCTTTCCTCGGAATGTGGGATAGCAACACCCAGCCTTCATATACCTTGCTAGATCAGCTGATGCAACGAGAGTTCAGCGATGCCGCCGAGAAGTAGAAGCACAATGCTACAATGCTATTATGCTATGTAGCACGGATAGTGGTTTCATTCGCTCACATGTGCCGTACATGACTCTACTGTACCAGATACCACCTTCCCTGTGGCAATGCTTATGTTCGATAATTGCTTTCTCCGTTTCGAGGAGGGTGTTTGTGCAAACCGATACACCTTTTTCAGAAAATCCTTAACGGCTAAATGTGTTCGGATCACCGCCCACAGAATATCGACAACATGGTTGTTCTGGACGAATTGAGAGGCAGTAGGGGTCACACGGGGGTGAATTTGTTGCATCCTATACTCTACCTCAGCACCACAAGCATACGTTGCCCAACATAGGCTGTACGTTACGGCCGCCTACGAAGCTTCACACGCTCACCCCGTGTATACACCTGCCACTCGCCCCTTAATCAAGGACTTTGGAGCGGCCGGCGGATACTAAGCCTGTACCAGCTGATCCTGGTTGCCGTCGTGGTGGGACAAGGGGTAGTTCAGATGAGGCTGTACAGCATCGAGGTGAATGCGACTCAAGTGAATGGTCAAAGCACAGGCCAAGAGCGAGATCAGCTTGTTGATTCCTCAATATCACCTGGCGGTTGTTGTGTGCGAAACGTGAAGACCGTTCCCGGAAGTCGTGGCAGTGCTCCATCTATCGAAAGACGGCCTTACACACCGTAATTAGCAAACTAACCCAGTCAGTGTGGATTTCGGGTACGTAGAATACTTTCGTTGGTGTTGCCGTCTACAAATCGCGCACTCATGAGTGTTTTTTAGGTTGTTCAAGATTCTTGTGACTAAATCCTGTACACGCTTATGCAGTCGCTGGTCCCTGCTGTGAGTCTCGACTCTTGCTGTGAGACTCGGGTCTCTGTGTTCTTTCAAAAACACCTTTCACGGCCACGGAATAGACCAAGACTGTGCATGGTGCATAGTACAAGAGCGCCCAAACCTTTGTGATTTTTCGGTTCGGAGCAAATAATCAACAATGTTATGTGTCGCGTGGTGCGAAAAGATCAATGGCCAGATGGCCGAGATGGCACTCAACGAATGACTGCCCAGAAATACCCCCCTACCCCTAATCCACATAGGTGTCTCTCGAAGAGGCGGCGGCTGATTTGCCCATCCAGCACGGAGAGTTCGAAGGCCGTTTTCGCGAGGGCTTCAACGAGGCTTACTTCGAACAGCTGTGCTCGGCGAGCGGTGCGTTCCCTTTGCACGAATCACGATCTCGCTGCTCTATATTTTGTAAGCACACTTTGTCATCGTGGAAAGGCCAGTCACAAATGTTGCAAATAGCTTCTGTGTACCGAAGAGGCGGATTGGTGGCGCCCCCCTTAGACCGACCTTCGAAGCTCCATTGCGCCACAACCAAGCGGGCGCGGAAAGAGCCCGACATTTCTACGGAAAGCTCTCGACCAGATGTTTCCCAAACCACCATTTTCGGTGTTGGTACAATCTTGGTCGTGGATCAATCCTTCTTTGAAAGTCGGCCTAGGGGGGTCCCATCTCTCCACCTCTTACGGTATACGGGAGACTCTGCAGCAGTTTAACTCCTTCCGGTCGTTCCACTAGCACCGACTCGAAGTCTGCGAGGAACACCGTCCTTTTTCGTGTTGTTGGTGAATCAAACGGGGTGCGAACCGCCTGTTCTGGTGTCTTTGGTTGGTTTTGACCTATCGACATGTGCCTGGTACGGCATCTCAAATACGAGAGGAATAAGATTTGGTTAGGTCTTAAATCTTTCAAGTGCCTCTTTTGAGGTAGGTCTGCGACCACGGGAACTCGTAGGTTTGCCTTCAGGAGCGTTCTCAAGATATAGGGTTTTGTCTCAAGACGTAGACTTTGTTGTCAAACCGACGACAACGACGACGATAGCAACCAACGCTCACAGACAAGCGCATGCCAAAGCCGCGCATGACGCCGTTCAATGTGGTCGCCCATCCTTCATTTGGGGTCGGCCTCGACAACCCGCGAAGACGCTGGTTTGCGCCATTCTTGCTTCGGCTATCTTTCTGGCAAATAACCATAGCTGTGACCGTGAAGAGAATGAAGCAATGAAATCATTGAGAAGAAGTTCCTTCGCTAAAACTTGCTCGTTTGTTTGCGTTCCGCCCTCACCGTGTAGTTTAACACCCGCTCAACGTTTCTCTGGCTGTACTTCGCATCGCTTTGACCGTGGTGTACGCCGTCGCCTGGTAGCGGGAGGAGATTCTTGGGTCTGGTCTTTGGTAGAAGACCACTGCCCCGACGCCATCTCCAGGGACGCCTGCTCTTGCTCGGACATCCTCGATGGCAGCGGACTTCCCGCTCGTTGTTCAACCCCAGAAACGTATTCCGCAGAGGGTGAGCGTGACTGCGTGCCAATGTTGCGGGTCTGATCACCACGAAAACAACCATAACTGTCGTTTTCTTGGGTTAAATCTTTACGCTCGTTGTCGTTGTTGATTGTCCTTCGTGTCCCGTTGACGTTGTAGCAGTCGTCGTTGTCGTGCTCACCGTCTCTCTCTCTCTGTCATCATGCTCGGTGTCGTCGCCGTCGTTGTTGCCGTTGGTCTCCTTGTGGTCGTTCTTGTTGCTTTCGTCGTGATCCTATTCACTCGGTAGCGCATGCGAAAAAAAAGTGTGCTCGAATACAAACTAGGGAGTGAGGGGAGAACTCAACACCGACCGGTGAATTCGAATATTTCCACGACATGTCGCTTTGGCGGTAGTAAGCAAGGCGGCAGGTACTCTTTTCTCAGACGTAGACGCCCAAGAACGCCCAAGAGTCTCAAACAACCCATGTTCATTCACCGCACATCCACCTCCGAATCCCATCTCTCGTCCCTGATCCCCAAACATGCTGTCAATCCCCCATCACCACCGATATCGTGATGAAGTAACTGGCAAGTACCTGCCCCCAAAGGGGGGAGGAGGCGCCATGAACGAGTGCCGTGTAATTCGAAGCAATCAACACGCGCGTACCCTATGTACGGTACCGTGCGTGGTAGCGGATTATCGGTGGAAAACGACACACCTACCGATCGACATTAGTAGCAAAATAGAACGTAAAGTTCTAATCCCTCACCCCGACGTTGATGCAATGAGAAGGTTTCGGCAAGTATAGCACGGCCTTGCTTGACCCCATATCTTTGTCGGTGATGCTGTCGACGGATGGGGCCTCAGGTTGCTGCCCAGACGAGGAGTTCTGCGAAGCGGGCAAGGAGGAGGCCTGTCCTTACGCCCCGTGCCGAACGGGCATATTAGAGGTTCTCCTCAGCTACATCACGTAAGGCGACCAAGACGAGGGGGGGACGTACTGGTGCTCTGCATGTCTTGCCTGTGAGACCATTGACCATTACGTGTCCTCGAGAGGGGTGAAGATGACCACGAGGGGGAGGGGGGCGTCCTCGTGTTCTGCATGCCTTAGCTGTGACCACGCGTCCTGTAGAGGGGTGAAGATGACCAGTGGGGAGACAATAAAGCTTAACACCGCTGTACGAATTATAAAGGGAGTCCTGGACATAGGCGTAAGAAGGACGCCGGGAGGTGGGCCTCCCTGACGCACGAGGTTGTCCTGGAGTACAGCACGGACGTCACTTGGAAAGGCGGCACCGTTTGGGTGCGTAGAGCGTGTACCCTACAATCGCGTCACGTTGGAATGAAGCGGGGGAGGAGGATGTGAGGTGTCGCGTGGAAACAACACGGAACATCACCAAATTCAACAACACAGTACCACACCATAAAAACCCACCACCACCACCACCACCACCAATAGCAGCAGCAGCAACAACAACATCTAACTTTAGACCACCGCTCCGCGCGCAGGCCGGCCAGGAAGTACTCTACGTTCGTGTTTGTGCTCGAGGGCATGGTGCTCATACTCACGTGCCTCCTGATCTGCTACAACCCGAGAGACAGCACTGAGGACATCCTCATCAAAACGGGCACCATCATGCGCCAGCACCACAAACCTGGGGAAGGAGGGGGGGGAGAGCCAGACTCGCAAGTCGGCGATCTTGAAGGTACCCTCGGGCGAATTGTGATACTCTTGATGTCGTTGTCGCTCTCTGCTGCTTTGGTTGTTGCTGTTGTTGTGGTTGCTGTTGCTACTCTCTTGGTGCCGTTGTTGTGGTTGCGGCTGTTGTTGCGGCTTGCTGCGGCTGCTCGAAATCACTCACTCATGTTTTCCCGGGGGGTAATAAGTTCATCGAAGCCTTTTCAATCGTACGGTTTTCCTTCCGTGGGCGGTTGGGGAGGGGTAGAACCGCTTTTGGCCATGGTTTGCAAAACAGGTTGACAAGCCAAATGCGTTCGTCCTCCGCAAGAAAGTTGATCGAGCCTAGCTCTGAGTTAGACAAACATACGACGTGAAATCCCCCGCCCTACCCGGAAAACCTGGGCAGATTCACGCACCCTATCCCTCGGTAGACAAACAACGTTGCAAAGTCGTTATTCTGGACAAAAGGATGACCACGGCTGCTATCAGATCCAAACAACCACTCCAAAGCGCTACCGTGACCATGGTCACTCTGCTTCGGTGTCGGGGTTTTCGGTATGGAATAGTTCAGTTTTATCTCTACATTTTGGACCGCACTCGTTTTCGATACAGGCCAAAGTTGTGTGCATGCGAGTTTCGGTTGTTTCCCGCAGGCGATAAAGGTTGAAGACACTGCCCGAGGCACTTTGCACTATTTTTCGCCTGCTGTAAGAGAACAGCTTCACACACCTTATTGTGCGACTCATAGCTGAAATTCGCAAAACATTGAGCTCTGACGGGAGCACCCGCTCATGCGTTCAGCACGTGCAGTTGGCTTTCCAGATCACACAAACACACACGCCGAAACCCCTTGTGCGCCGGAGCCAAAGAGTCAACAACCCCCCGTGTAACCGAACGCCGCCTCACCGAAAGGGGCACCTGGGGGCGCCAAGAACCCAGCGGGCGCGTCCATCCATGCGTTAAGACTAGATCTAGTTCAGCCAGCCGGAGCGGTAAGGCGTGCAGGAGCTGCGGGAAAACGGGGAGCTGCGGGAGGGAGCCCGGATCGCGCGACCCCGGCGATGTCACCGATGGCCGTGGAAAACGTGAGAGACCGGGGGGGGGGGGGGGGGTTGTGTTTGTTGTTGAAATGATGCCATCTTTCGTGTGGACGGATCTCGTCACCACACGCTGGTTCATGGTGTTCCAGCTCTGTAGCTTCGAGACTCCTCGCTTGCTTACTTGCTTAGTCCCATTTGCACCCTATCTGTGTTCATCGCTGTGTACATATGTGTTCGTACTCTGAAAACCGCCATTCCACGCTTCGTATTATTTTTTGCTTTATCGCGGCCACTTTTTTTGCGTACTCCAGCCAATCCCAATAACCACACGACGTCCCATTGCGTCTGCCCCTTCCCCCTCCTGTGTCCGAAAAGATACCGACTGAGCCGCTGAGCCAGTTTTTGACCCCCAAACGCGGTGGAAACAGGATAACGTATGGTCCAGACTCTGGCGGCGAGGACGATGGCGAGACGTACGAGTACCAGAATCCCAGAAAAGGCAAGTCCGCCGCGGTGGGACCGCCGAGGGCCAAGGCGAAGACGGCCACGGCCACCCCCGCCGCTGCCGCTGCCGCCGCTGCCGCTGCCGCTGCCGCCGCCACCGCCGCCACCGTTGCAGCAACAGCAAGCGCCCCCGAGGGTTCCCGAGCGGCGCAGGACAAACGGCAGCACGGAGCCGGGGCCGCGGCCATCGCCGCTGTGCCCACCCTCGCAGCCAGGCTCCTCCCGGGAGCCGCCCCGTCAAGACGCCACGGAGAAGAGAAGTAAGTAGAGGCCTGAGTAGAGGGGATGATGATAAATCTGGGGCCTTCCGCTTGATTTTCCATGGTGATCTATATATGGATCTTTCGCGCAGGGTTCCATGTTTGCAAGGTTTCCGATAAGTGGCTTGTGTGTGTGGGCAAAAACCCACCAAAGTATCGAGAAATCGTTCCAGTTCTTTTTCGGAGGTGCGGCCAGCGGAAGAGGGGTGTGAGGGTCGTCCGGTTTGGTGCCTGGGGGTGGATGAATCGACTGTTTGCAGCGCTTTGGGAAGCCATCGTTCCAAAGTTTTCGGGCCCTTCTCACTTGCAAAACTTTTGGAGGCATTTCCAAAGGGTTCGATGACTTCCAATATCTTGGAAGTTCCAAATTTGGCACAATCAGCCATATTTTTTTAACAGCCCTTAGCGGCTTCAGAATGATATTCGTTAGTCATGAACCCTAAAACCGCCGTTGCTGCCAACGCATGGTGCGCAGGAGGAGCCAAGAACGCAACCACAGTTACGACTCCAGCGGCAGCGCCGATGGCGAAGAGGAAAAGAAGAGGGAGAACCACGGGTGCGGAGGAATCATGGCAGACATGACCCCGGTGTCTGCTGCAGCAGGTGACGAAAACGACGGCAGCGAGTTTTACCAGAAGTTGGGTGCCCAGACCCCTGCCGCACACTACGGAGGCGGCGGCGGCGGCGGCGGCGGCGATCTCTTTGCAACATCACGAACGTCACCGACACCGACAGGTGCTGCTTCCCGCCTGGATCCCACTCGGTTTCTCACCAATACCTCGTCGGTACAGGCAACGGCGGCATCGAGGTACTTCCCGCACGGTGGCGGCGGCAGCTTCCAGGTACCGCAGTCCCCGATAACGCCTGAATTGCCGGGCGGCAACGACAGCGGCAACGCCGAGAAACCACCGCGGCTCGAGGGTCAGACCAACATATTGACGTCCCCAATGTCAGCCGACGTGCCCACCTCCATCGGTGGAGAGAAGCGAACGGTCGTTCCTTCTTCGTCTGGCCTGTCCTCCAATCCTTGCCTCTTGTCCCAGCAAACCCCTGTCGCATCGCCACGTGGCGGGTTGCCACCCACGTACCAGGAACACACAGACGCGGTTGGAAACGCGGCACACAGTGGCCGCCCGGCGTCTGCGGGGCACTCGGCGGGCGGGGACTCGTCCGTTGGCGACCCGACCGGCCTAGTTGCGTCGCTTGCCAACGCCCTCCTCGCCCGCGCCAACGCCGGGGACGGCGCGTCTCCAACCAACGACAGCGAGAACCAGCAGCAGGAAGAGGAGGCAGGGAACAACGACCCTTCTTCTACTCCCGCCGGTTTCTTGAAAGGGTTGATGACACAGACGCCGCCGGGCGGGGCCTCTCCGGCGCGCCCTGAAAGAAGAACACTTCAACGCCGGCCAAGCGGGTCTGCCGCTTATCCCCGGAGCGGGAGCGACCTGTCTCCTGTACTGTCCGCCCGCGGCACTCTCTTCCAAGCGGCAGATTTCCCGGAGGAGGAGGAGGAGGAGGAGGAGGAGGAGGAGGAGGAGGAGACACTGTCTCAATTGCCGGTGGTTGAGCCAGCAGCGAAATCCTTGCCCCAGGTGGAGATGAGCACGCCGGGAGAGGGGTCGCGCATGTTTCTGGCCCAGACGCCGATCACGTTATCGAATGCGGACGTGACGCGGCTGTACGAGTCCAATGTTTCCACTGACACCGTGCCGATAACTGCAGCAGGAGCTCCAGATGGGGGAGCCGGGGGCGAAGAGAAAACGTCTGACACTACGTTCGGGCGGAAAGCTAGTACCTCGGAGCAGCAGCCGGTTGTCGAGGACGAAGTGCCCTCACCCGCTGTGGAGCCTGCCAACCAAGCACGCGCATCGCCTCCGGGCAGCTCGCCACTCAACACGACACTGACCAACGGGGGAAAGGAACCGGCGGTGGTTGCTGGGGGTGCCCTCTCCGATGGCCCCACCAGCGACGATGCTACCACTCCCGCAAGTGCCACAGCAGCAGCCCCGCTTCCCAGCGCCAAACCGCAGAGCAGGTTCGCGCGCTTCCTTGAAAAGGCGTTGTAGACGGACCTTGCCGCTCCAGCCGAGGTGCTGCCTAAGCCAACGGCGGAAGCGGCGACGGCAGAGGGTGGAAGTGACGGGATCAACGGAACATGTGGCGATATCGCCGCGGCAGGAGAACGAAAAACAGGAACAGACACGGAAGCAGACCCGGGTGGAGAATAAGGTAGCGCTCTACCCTCGTGCAGCGTGCGGCTCGGGATGCCCGCAGATAGCATGGCATTGCACCTTCCGTTTCTTCAAAGCACACTCGGGATGCGTCAACACGTCGAATCACCTACATGTTCATTGTCGCGATTTCAAGCGTAGGGAGATGTTTTCCCGGTGTACGCGTCCCGTGACGCCAGGGCGGGGACGGTGAGTTCACCACAAGGAGAGAAAGAAAGGCAGATGATGTATAACGTGCTTCCATATTGGGACAGGCGCGAAAGAAAGACATCACACAAACGTCTGTGTGCTTGTGATATGTGCTGTGTTTCAAAAGAGAGAGAGAGGAGAGAGGGGGGGGGGGGGGGGGCGAGCAAACGACAGACAGACAGACATAGCGAACTCGAGCTTAACCCCTACCGATAATCATCCCGGTTCGAGAAGGCACCCGTCTGCGACCAAGGTCATCTTGAAAGATTAACGACTATACGCTACACTACCGTTTGTGTTCTAATTCTTCTGATTTGTTGATGGCACGTTGTCCGACCTGGAAAACTAGTCGTTGCTTGTTCGTTTCTTGAAAGGTGGGGGGCAAGGACCACGTGGCAGTTGAACCGTGCCATACGAATCTTCGATGGTATTATACTGGTACCTGCGGTTTATGAGGTGTGACACCGGGAAAGCCAGGTTTCGAACGGGGTCGAGACTAAACACATATGGCACGTGTGGATAGGGAACGTGTGGCGTGCAACTTGTGGCGTGCAGGTTGAAACTTTGTCGTACTGTGCAGATAACGAGGACAATATATTCAAGATTCTAGAAACACGAAGACAAAACATATACTTTTAGTATTGATGGAACGTACATTTGTTCCGCCACAGGAGGCGGAAGCTGCCCAATCTCGCGGAGGTGTCATGAGTTGCTATTCCTACGGAACCATGCTTGAGGATCCATGAGATTTGCACTAATGTAGGTCGAGATTACAATGGCAGCCCCAAGAAGAAGTGCACAAAAAATGAAATCATTTCGGCGAACCGGACCAATCTTTGCTGTACGAATGGCAACACAGACAAAGTCTGATCTTGTCCGCCACAAGTATTATGGTGTGCGATTTACACCAAACCGTGCCCTAGGTGCCACGACATTCGCACCGTAGCTTGATATCAGCATTTGGGACGGGGTCGGGTCGGGTGGGGGCAGGTCCGGATATTGGCCTGAGACGTAAGCAAAAAGCTTAGAACAACTGTATGTACAAGTCATCGGAAGGTTCTCGCTTGTAATTCGCTGATGCGCGTGTGACTGCAGAGAGTGCAAAGCGTCTCAAGTCAGTGCTCAAGCTTATTGAGTGTAGCAGCAGACCGACATGCCAGAACACCAACACCTTGGGTGTGCCACAAGCAATACAAGACCATGGAGCGTGTGTGTATTCGTCCTATTCATTATGGCGACAGTCCCCCCGTATTAGTGGTGAGACGTTTACTACACGTGTTTCAGTATATGTAGAGTACTACACTTTTCAGTGTGTTCTTCTGTACAACTACAACAATCCAGGGTCACACAGGAGGGGGGCTTTTTTCTTCTTTTATTTTTTCTTTCGTGCCCCACCTTCCTCCTGCGTTGCCTGGAGTACGAGCAAAATATCTGCTTAGCGTTATCGACAGAGGATAGATAGCTCATGCAAACATCCTTCGTAGTCCTCGGCAGATTTCACGCACCACAAACAAAGGAAGGTATCACTTACATGAGATAGGAATCGAATGGTTACTTTCTGGCCCTAGCGCTAAATAACCGTTTCAATCATCGTGGAAGTAAACGTTATTTCCCTGGAGGGGCAGCCAAAATTCTAGGCACCTTGGGTGACTGTAAGCAATGGGGAGAATGTACTCCTCAGTGGAGGAAGCAAGACTGTTCGGTGGGATGATCAAGAACAAGAAAACGCTAGGCAGTATAACCGGCACCACGAGGGTTTCACAATAAGGGGCAGTGGGGGGGGGTAGATGATACCCAAAACACAATTCAAGGCTCCAACGAAACGCATGCCGCACCGCCAAACAAAGCAAGGGCAACCCACTGGTGTCCGCGTCCGTGCGTCCACGGGGGGGGGCTATTAGAAACACTTGCACGCGATAAGGATGTCAGTGGTAGTGGTTTTACTACCATAGAACATTGTTACCAAAAGTGGATAAACAACTCGCAAAACAGCACGGTCCAAGAAGTGAACGCGGCACCTCGAAGAGCTCTGCCCACACAAGCCACTGATATGTAGATACAACAAATTCACCGCACGCCACAAGTAACTCGCGAGGAACAGCTCTTGCGGCAGCAACACAGTGCGTTGAGAAAGGAAGCACTCCAGTTACACAGGAAGCTCCGACTGTCGCAGCAGCTACTGCAACACACCCATGAAACCTAGGCTGGTCACAAGACTAAGGACTTACAGCAGAAGTCGGCTACTACGTTCTATTGTGAGACACGTTGCGGTAGCGAACCAACCAATGCAGCACGGAAGAAACTTCTTCGTGATAAAGTATCTACCCCAGCCATCATACCAGGTGCTATTATACTGCACTTAAAATGTATCGGTCGCTACAGCAACCCAAGACCCCCATGGAGTCGCCGAAGTCGCTGGTGCCGCCGCAAGAACAAGCAATGCCTCACCGCGACAAGCAAACTTGGCACTAAAGCCGTCTGTAGCTAGCTATTGCCACGCGTCAAGAAGCTGCCGCTGCCGCTGTAGCAAAGCTGCAGCAGCATCATCGCTTATGCCCGCTCGCCGGTATCCCCTGGTGTACGCCTCCACAGCGGCAGCCTTTAGCGTCCTGTCACACCCTGTGAAGTCAGAGGCAAAAGCGTATACGGTAGAGGGGCCGGCATAAGGCCGCCATGGTCCAAGGGAAAACTCAGGCCATAAACAGGGCACCCGTCACAATTCAAAGAATGAGACGCCTTGATTACTCAGCCTGTGCCGAGCGACTTCACCGGCCTTAAGCAGGACAGGCGGCCTCATTCATGTGGCCTTATATCGGACCCCTACTGTATGAATTCTGTGCGTTTTGATATCAAGGGCATCAAAGCAACCACGTGTTTAACGAAACAACGGAAGGACAAATTCCGCCTTGTGTGAAACGTGCATACCCTTCTCGCGCACATCTGTGCTGGGTGTTTGTAGCGACCGCGTGGATGCCTCTCAAACAAGGCGCACGGGATCAAGCAATGCAAACTATCACTGCGGAAACGCTTGTTGTGGCTTTACGTCGAATCGACACGTCGAATCACCCCTGTGAGAAAAGCACCGCTGTCGGGAGGGGTGAATAACAGGCACACCTCAGTTGAGCAGCCCTCCCCCCCAAAAAACGGCCGTGGGCATGCACAAAAAGAGGAGGGGGGATTGCGCCCGTGATGCCTTGACCCTGGTCTGCAAAGACCGTGACGAAGGCAGAGAAGGTGGGAACGTTGCATGAAGCATGTGTTCTTTCACAGCCTTCGCCCAACCAACCAACCAACACCATTTGAACTGCGACGAGGTCATTCACCACGAAGAACGAAAGACGGTGAAATAGGGTTTCTTAGGATGAATACCACCGTGAGCAGAATCTTGGCGTGGCAAGTACGCCCCCAACAAAAGTACGCCCCCAACAAACGCCCCCTCCGCTACCTCCACACTTTTCCTTCCAAAACGAAACAAAGACACCCCTCTCCCTCTCGTCGAGGTGACCATCCCCCCGGCCTTCCCCTTACCCGCAACGGCTTTCACGGTCACCGACAACCGCGCATCCTTGGTGCCCGAGAGCAGGGTCAGAGAAGCGCGTACCATCCGATGCGACTCTCTCCCGGCACGAATCACGCACACCCCCGAGGTGCGGTCAAAGGATCGAACTGAGAAGCGTGCACGGCGAGCGAAAGGGTTGATACGTGGCAAACGTACACGCGCGCGTCAGTTTGGTAGTTGTGGGGACGGAGGGCCCAAACGACTCGAGCTACTGAGGTTGCTTAGCATCGGCAAGTCAGTGCATTGATGCGCGTAGGGACCCTAAACCTCCGAGAAAATCTATGCTGACATTGTCGCCGCCGTGATGATTAAGAGTCCTCGTTGTTGTTCTTGTTTGCGAAGCGGCCCAGCCGGTATATCAGTCACCTGGCCGCAATGGTCCTGGCGAATAGCTGGCAGGGGTAACTTGAACATCGTTTGTGATATCTACCATAGCAGACTACAGAACGCCCATTCCCGCCACCGCGACCCTCCTCCCGCACGTGCACACACCTTGAAGCGATTGACTAGTGCTGCCCGACCCGAAGTCCCCAAAATTGGCTTCAATCGATTCCTGAGAAGGCAACCAAAGCAAAGAGTTGGAGCAACTTCGCACCGAGGGTGGGCAAAAGCTATGCAATCGCTGGTAACCATTGAGTTATCGACGGCGAGAGAAAGGAGGGGTGTCCCGTTAGCTTGCAGAGAGACAGACACGGTTGAGGTTCCACCTTCCTGTGACCACAGCATGTACGCGAAAGTAAGGCGCTATCACAGGCGATCGACAGAAGGGGTGGCAATCAACGAAGGGCAAGAGACCAGAGCATGCTAGACTACCAGCTATTGTGGTTTGCACAGCAGTAGCTAGACTAATTCTCCGTGACGCGACACACATGTGGCACTTACCCGGAGCATCGCCAAGATTTCGCTCGGCCCCAGCTCGGCTATCCTCTCTTGACTTGCCGCAGCTATGGTCGCCACCAGGTATCTATGCTTGAACCTAACCATCGCATGTCTCAATACCCAAAGAGAGAAAACAAGCCTGGCACAGCGAGCAACGCGCTCCGCGGTTGTCTACCACCTTTCTCTGTACACTTGTGAACCGGTGAGCACGAGGTGATTGACCACCAGTAACCTGTGAGGGAGTCTCCGTGCCTGGGACTTCCGTACACTGGTTCACCAACAAAGGTAGAGCCGAGACAGGGGATAGGAAGAAGTGGAAGAGTGCCCGTGACGAAGTCGGAGAGGCAGCAGCGTGCCAGCGCGCCAAGCACTTCGCTGTTGACCAAACCAAAAAATGCGGCGAGATTAGTCCCGAAACCATCATGTGACTTGGGTTTCATTTGGTTCTGAAGGGCTTCCGAACAGACGCTCCGTGACGTAGCATGCATGCTGGGGGTCTCGTAGTCGGGCAGGCCACCTCACGCCGCCTGCCTGGCCTGACAGCTGAGCTCCACAGACAGCGACTCGTGCACCTCTTCATGGACGTTGAGGTCCAAGCAGACTCCTCGGAGAGCTTTGCATCAGCAGGAGTACGAAGAGAGGACCGGCTCGGACTACGCTGGCGTTGCGCGTGTGTAGCAGGTGAGGGGAAGAGACCGCTGTACTAATATCTATGTACAGCCGCGCGTGGTTGCGCGTGGTTGACCGCGTGAGGGAGGTCACGAGGTACACCTTCCCGTGCTGGAACCAGGACAGAGCTCGATACAACTGAGAAACTCGGGAAGAACCTTATTTTCAATCAAGGCGCGCTGCCTGTCACGTGTAATTGCTGACCAAATGAAGTCGTCATGTTCGATACACAGTACTTTGACTCGCCTAGACTATCATAAGCCGCCTCTGTTGCAAGACGTCAAAACGAGTGCAGCGGCCTCGTTTCGTACACACGGCGCAACAATCATCCGGGACCGCGGTGGCAGTCGTAGGAAGGGTGCCCCTCTCCTGGAGTCCATTCCTGCAAAAGAAAATGTAGCAAAGCAGTAAAGTAGAAGAGAAAGAAAGTAGGAAAGACTCTCTGGTGGGGGCAGCAGAGCCTTTTGGCGGGACCTCCCACAAGGTGTTTCGTTGTACATAGTCGAGCTTTTCTGATGGACTCGGGCTCCAACTCCTGCTCCTCAGCCAACAAGCGCTCGCCAGCCTCTCTTTTTCGCCAAGCGTACCGAGGAGTGAGATTGATTGAATCTTGTCGTACACTGACAAACAATATTTGTTGTCGCAACCACACCGTTGCAGCTGCTTCCAACTTTTGCATGATACGACAAACATGCGACTGAGGGCGTTCGCGGATCGTGCAGTAACCGTGCAGATTCATCACGATTTGCTCCCAGGCAAAAGGGGACCACACGTCTGCCGTACGCGGGCTAGCGTAGTACATGGCGGCAACTTGACAACTAGATAAAGGCGAGCGGCCGTCAATGCACGGGGTAATAAAAAAATATGAAAAATGGGCACCATCGGGAGCGCTCCATCGAGATGCTGTTTGTTGCGGTGGATAACCGATCACCCGCTTCCGGCTCTATGGAGTTTTTAAGAGGGTATTCCACAGGAGCCACAAGAGCCGAGACTAATCTTCGCTCAAACTCTGAGACTATTTTGATGCACTGCAACGCGCGGCCACTGGTGTCACAAGCTTGACCTGTCGCCCATTGTCCCTGTTCCTCTCACCCTACCGAGCAGGACTCCTATTGTTGCTGAGTCAGGCCGTCACCGGAGCCGCCGCGTTCGCCTTCGTTCCACGTGTTGTTCTGCACCGCACGGCGGACACCAGCGACTGGAGAGCGGTTGGAAAGCAGCGAGGCACCCAGCAAAGAAGCCGAGCGCTGGTGGCTGGGGAGAGGCGCGTCTTCGAAACTCGGACTGTGTGGAAAAGCAGCACAAGTGGCAATACTGCTGGCGCCATGGACGGAGAGCAGGAAAATGCCAAGATTATCGACGGTGCGTAGTGCGTAGTATTGAAGGATAGGTCGCACGGCAGGGTGTTGTACTGCGTGCGCGCGCTCATGAACTTGTATTCGTTACAGCTGTGCAAATAAAGCGGACGTATTTTTGTGTCAGACATCTCTCGCTTTGTTAGTTTCTCGTGTTGTTGAAAAGTCTTCAGCAGGCGAACTATGGGCCACTTGGAAGTTCCACCGCTCCAGGTTACACCAGTCCATGCATTCTGTGTTTGTGGGGCGGGTTCGCAAGTTTGACCTAAAGCCATCACACCCTTCCGTCCCTCGCAGCCCCCACCGACGGTATTGCTGAACACCACGTTTCATAGACGGCACAGCAGAAAGAATCATGCTTGTTCAGCCCAGCCCAAGAAGCATGTTGTTCAAGCCTCGCTCCCTCCACCCAATAAGCATGGTTGTCCGACCCTCGCTCCCACCCCGGCTGTTAGGCAAGGCCACAGCTGCAGCTATTCGGGCAGAGCTCAAAGCGGAGGTGGAGGCGCACGTGCAGTCCTCTGGCGGACCGCCCCCGGGGCTAGCGGTGGTTTTGGTCGGGGACAGGCGGGACTCGGCAACGTACGTCCGGATGAAGAAGAAGGCGTGCGATGAGATAGGGGTCAGCTCCTTCGGATTCGATTTCCCGGAGGACGTGACTCAGGATGTAAGAGGGTGTAGTGGGGGGTGCATCGAGAAGTATTCTTCGCGCATCTAACTCTGACGCGGTGGAGTAAGGGTGAATCGAGAAGTACTTGTGTCTTCACTCGGACGCAGTGGCCTAATTGTGTTTCGTGAAGGGAAGGAGGAGAGGTTGGTGTTTCTTCACCACGTATCTCTCCAGATGGAACAAGCGTGCTGCAGACGTTTCGATCTTGACAACGACAAACTGTTCTGAACTCCTGGATTCTAGCCCGCGGTCTCCTGCATCGCCTTCGTCCGGAAGATTGTTGTTGAAGTTGCTGAACGAATTGTGGATGACACAACGCAGCTGCTACCAACTGGCAATCTTCCCGCCTCGCCTACCTGCCTGTCCTCCCACTCATTTCCTTATAGACGCTCCTAGCTTGCGTTGGAGAACTGAACTCTAGGCCGGACGTACACGGTATCCTGGTGCAGCTACCTCTACCCAAGCACGTGAGAGCCTCAGCGGTTGGCCGACGTTACCAACAATCATGTCCAACCTTTGGGCTCTTGTTGGATCTTTCCTCGTGCGCTTGCATGTGAAGCCTGCAGCTTGACCACCCATGAAAGAGGAGGGGATAACGGCTCGTCCGAGAATGTGCGTTCCTCCAGCGCCGGGCTGTTGCTGTCACCGTTAGCACTTGGCCACAAGGGATGTGCTGCTTGCTCAGATTCAGCATTTTCTTGGTTTGGCACTTTCGCCACCGTGACGCCCACGCATTTTGTCAGATTGATGTATGTGCTGCTTGCTCAGTGCCTCTGGCAACATCGTCTACTTACAATGCCAGTGGAACGATGTACTGCTGTTGTTGAGCGTATATCATTGCAAGATTGGAGTGAGGATCACCCATGTTTGACGGAATACCAACATCATCTCAGTTTGGTGCTTTCGCCACCTTTGACGGACACGCCTTTTGTGTCAGATCGACGAGCAATCGGTCTTGCAAGCGATCACGCCTTCCAAGGACGTGGACGGCCTTCACCCGGCCAATGTGGCGGCGCTGTGCACGGGCAGGACTCGAGCCCCTGGGCAGGCGGCCTCCTGGCAGCTCAAGGACCTGGACTTTCATGTTCCCTGTACGCCTCAGGTATGACAGCACGAACCGTTGTATGCATCAGAAACGCCGGCCTAGACTTTCATGTTCCTTGCACGCCTCAGGTAAAATGCACGAACCGTTAAAAGTATGCTTAAGAAACGCCGACCTGAATTTTTGTGCTACCTGCACGCGTCAGGTAAACCGCACGAGTGGATATGAAACGCAAGAATAGACTAACAGAGTTGTGCCAACGTCACGTATTTCTTGGCAACGATGAAGCCTGTAGGCGGCTGCTATCGACGAGACTTTCCCCATCTGTCGTGAAATGCCAACCGAGGTGTGCCTTTATTGACCACATACGGCTTGTGGAAAATCCATGGTTTCAGGGCTGCATCGACTGTACTTTTTGCTCTTGACAATATTCGGCTTGTGGAGAATCCATGGTGTCAGGGCTGCATCGAACTCCTGCACCGTACGTTTTGCTCTTGACAACCATACGGCTTGTGAAAAATCAATGGTTTTAGAGCTGCGTCGACTGTACTCTTTGCTATCGACAGCTTAAGGCTTGTGAGAAATCTGCATCGAACTCCTGGACCGTACTTTGCTCTTGACAACTTACGGGTTGTGGAAATTCCATGGTTCCAGGGCTGCGTCGAGCTCCTGGACAGTGTCGTTCTTTGCTCTTGACAGCATACGGCTTGTGGAGAATTCATGGTGTATCAGGGCTACATTGAACCCCCTGGCCGTAGTTTTTGCTCTGGACAACAATACGGTTTGTGGGAAATCCTGTATCGAACTCCTGGGCCGTACTTTTCGCTCTTGACAACATTCGGCTTGTGGAAAGTCCATGGTTCCAGGGCTGCATCCTGGACCGTACTTTTTGCTCCTTCTTGACAACTTACGGCTTGTGGAAAACCCATGGTTCCAGGGCTGCATCGAGCTCCTGGACCGGTACGGCGTTGAGATCTCGGGAAAGCGAGCAGTCGTCCTCGGGCGTTCCAATATCGTCGGTATCCCGGTGTCGATGCTGCTCATGCACAGAGACGCGACGGTGACGATGACACACTCCAAGACCGTCGACATCGCCTCTGTGGTGAGTGAACAGTGAACTCCTTTGACCCACCCACCGACGCGAGGACGCTTGGTCAATGGCCTTACACCTAAGACATGCAAAACATTAGAGTACGCCCGCCCCCCCCCCTGCCCCCGGCCCACCGACGCCTTCTTGTGAGAGGCTTGGCGGGATTCACCCTGTTACAGGGCACGGCGGTCGGCGGCGCTGC